CCCCTGTCGCCGATCCATCGTGCAATGTGAACACAGCAGCAACTGAATGCTACCCCAGGTCGATGGATGGGCGACAGGGGGTTACCGATGTCGGGCATTTGTCAGCGATTTCGCAAAACCTGTCGGCGAGTGAAAAATCGGGCTAAAATCATGCAGTGTGAACTCGGCATAAGACAACACAGAACCACGACCTCTTCCAGGTAGATTTTTAACATTTTCTGTTGATTGGAAATTCTTAATTATTGCCCTGATGGTAGAAATGGGATTTTTTCTTACAGTCACTTTCTTTTTTGTGAAGTTCAAAAATCTTTTGCTGCACATCAGAAATATATTCTTTGATTTTAATCATTGTGATAATTAAGGAATTTGGTCTTTGTGGTCCCTCATATTTCCTTTGAAACAACGCTGACCTCATACATCAAACTTCCGGAGCTGCTTCCGTGTACAACTGTTGACGCAAGCTAGGTTAAAGTGATTTATTACGTTTTGAATATGGATATTTTTCTTACAAAAGCGCATCGATTCACTACAGGAGGCCTTTGTTCACCCCCCCTGCAGCCGTGTGAGGCACTTTTTTATTATGGATGCATGCACTTTATTTCACTTCTTTTGGACTGATGCACTGCAACGAATAATAAAATACAAGCCTCTGTTATATTTCTTTGTTGTATTGTAATTCAAAGCTTACCAGAGGTGGGACTTTCAAGTCACAAGCAAGTCTCAAGTAAAATCCCAAGTCCTCAAAGAGTTAAAGTTAATGAGATAATTAAGTTACTAATTAAATAATGATCGTGTATTAGTGACGAACACCTGCTGTTAACAATCAACATCATTGAAGAAAAGAGAAACACAAGACCTACATCTGACTTTAGCCACAGCCTTGGATGGAATCAACTGAAGAAAAAAAGAACACACAATGCCACCATAATTGTGGTCAAGGTTTGCTTTAGTTTGAGCCGTGTGAGGCACTTTTTTATTATGGATGCATGCACTTTATTTCACTTCTTTTGGACTGATGCACTGCAACGAATAATAAAATACAAGCCTCTGTTATATTTCTTTGTTGTATTGTAATTCAAAGCTTACCAGAGGTGGGACTTTCAAGTCACAAGCAAGTCTCAAGTAAAATCCCAAGTCCTCAAAGAGTTAAAGTTAATGAGATAATTAAGTTACTAATTAAATAATGATCGTGTATTAGTGACGAACACCTGCTGTTAACAATCAACATCATTGAAGAAAAGAGAAACACAAGACCTACATCTGACTTTAGCCACAGCCTTGGATGGAATCAACTGAAGAAAAAAAGAACACACAATGCCACCATAATTGTGGTCAAGGTTTGCTTTAGTTTGTCTCTTGACCCTTTTACTAGTTCAAAGTGATTTGCTTCTAAACAACTGCAGTATTGTTTCAGAGCAAACATTTGTGCATTGTTGAATCAAACCTTGAAGTGGCAGTTTAACTTATGCTTTCTTTCTTCTAATATTTCCTCACTGGAGAACACTGATCTCTCTGCTTTACAACACAACATGCATTTCTACAGAGAGAGATATAACACAAGAAGTCAAGAGCCCAACTAAAGCAAACACTGATCTCCATGATGGTGGCATCATTTTAACCAATAAAACATCAACATCTGATCCTCTGTAATTCTCAATAACAGCAGGTGTTCATCACTAATGCACAATCATCATTTAATTAGTCACTTAATTATCTCATTAACTTTAACTCTTTGGGGGCTTGGGATTTGACTTGAGACTTGCTTGTGACTCCAAAGTCCCACCTCTGCTTTTAGTTAAATTAGACAAGATGGGAATAAAAGGAAAAATGTACAACTTGATTATGGATTTTTTGATTAATAGGACCATACAAGTAAGGGTCGGAACAAGTTATTCTAGGACTTACTCAACAGATAATGGGACCCCCACAAGGAAGAGTGTGTAGCCCATGTTTTATTTAATATAATGATAAATGACATATTTTCAATGATTGGACAAGGATTTGGTAAATCTTTATATGCGGATGATGGTGCCTTGTGGAAAAGGGGAAGAAATGTAGTATATGTGGATAGTAGTATGCAGAAAGCAGTTAATGAAGTGGAAAAATGGGTAAATAAGTGGAGTTTTAGACTGTCAGTATAGAAAAAACTAAAGTGACATGTTTCTCAAAAAAGTAGAAATCACCCAATATTAAACTAAAGATTTATGGTCAAATGTTAGAGCAGGTAACAGAAATTAGGTTCTTGGAGTATGGATGGACTCAAAACTAACTTTTGCATCGCATATTAAGAAAGTAATAGATAAATGTGAAAAGGGAATAAATATTTTAAGATGTTTGGCGGGGGTAGATTGGGGTGCAACCCGAAAAGAATATATTGTGCAATGATTAGGCCTATGATTATTATGGCAGCATAGTATATAGTTCGGCATCAGTATCTATGTTAAAGACAGTAAGTGGTATTCAATCTCAAGCACTAAGAATAGGAAGTGGGGCATTTACAACATCGCCAGTCTCAGCGATGCAGGTGGAAATGGCGGAGTTGCCTTTAGACCTCCGGAGACTTAAGTTAAAGATGGCATACTGGTGTTCTGTAAGGGGGCATGTAGAAACCCATCCAGTCAAAGATGTTTTAAAAAAATGTTGGGAACATGAGTATATAAATTATTGTAGTTTTGGATGGAATGCCAACGCAGATGCTAAGAAGGTAGGAATTAATGACATAAAAATAAGTTCAACGGTAGCAATACCAATTATACCCCCTTGGCTGTTCCGCATGCCAATGGTAGATCTCCAGTTGCATTTTAAAATAAATGAAAAGGAAAGGTGTATGCCTAAAGAAATAAAAGTGGATCAATATTTGAAACAAAACTATTTTAATAGTATTCAAATATATACGGATGGGTCAAAAAAATCCAGATTCTGGGTATACAGCAGCAGATTATGGCAGCATAGTATATAGTTCGGCATCAGTATCTATGTTGAAGAAAGTAAGTGGTATCCAATCTCAGGCACTAAGAATAGGAAGTGGGGCATTTAGAACATCGCCAGTCTCAGCGATGCAGGTGGAAATGGCGGAGTTGCCTTTAGACCTCCGGAGACTTAAGTTAAAGATGGCATACTGGTGTTCTGTAAGGGGGCATGTAGAAACCCATCCAGTCAAAGATGTTTTACAGAAATGTTGGGAACATGAGTATGTAAATTATAGTAGCTTTGGATGGAATGCCAATGCAGATGCTATGAAGATAGGAATTAATTACATAAAAATGAGCTCAACGGCAATACCAATTATACCCCCTTGGCTGTTCCGAATGCCAATGGTACATCTCCAGTTGCATTTTAAAATAAATGAAAAGGAAAGGTGTATGCCTAAAGAAATAGTAGTGGATCACTATTTGAAACAAAACTATTTTAATAGTATTCAAATATATACGGATGGGTCAAAAAAAATCCAGATTCTGGGTATACAGCAGCAGCCATATATATTCCCTATTTTAAATATAG